TAAGGTTGAAACCAGTAGAGACTAGTCTTCTATCTAGCCGCGCATCCCTTTGACTTGGTCCCGCCATCATAGGATTTAGGTTTTTGGTGAGGTTGTATATGTCTCCTCTTGATCCGGGCAGTTAAGCTAAGACAGCCTACTCTGCCCATGATACGTGACCACAGACAGTGGAAGGTGCCTGGTATGACGGACAGGGTAGTCCCATCCGGCATCGTTATACGTCTTGGTGCAATTAGGTGCAGTCAGGGATAAGATAATGAGATGTTCCTTAGCCCCAGCCAAAGTTCCAGAAGGCATTCCCTCTAGCACCTTACTAGAACTTTCTCCACCAACGACAAGGTCTCGCATCTCCTAGAGGAAGTATATCCGGTCTTATTAGCAACAAAGGAACCGTATATACAGTTAATATAAATAAGATAAATATTGTGTTATTAAAATAAAAAATAATTTGTTGAAAGTTAAAAATAAGAAGTAAAAAACGTAAAAGTAATAATTGGATGTTGTACTAATAACATATTTATGTCACCCTTATGCTCTTATAAGGGTAGAAATAAAATACCTTCATTCATAATGAATAAGCCTGTAAAGATTTCTTAGGATTTGGTTTGTTATTTCAGGGTTCTCTTTTCTATTGTTATGATTGGAAAAGATCGAGTAAAATATAAAGTGATCCAATCTGCTTTCATTTCAAGCAGAGGGAGCATATGTTAACTTTTTCGTACGGTTCAGATTTATTTGTCTTGTGTTATATAGCGTTTTTATGTTGTTTTTATCAAGAAATATTTCCTTGTTATTTTGTTACATACAGTTTTTAGAAAAAGGAAAAATAGAGAAGTTGGAAAATATATTGAAGTACCTACATTACAAAATAAAAACACTAAATCACGTAATGTGTAAAAGTAAAAGTGTTTTGCTAACTGTGTAAAAGTAAAAGTGTTTTGGTGTATTGTGGTGATTTAGTGTTTTTATTTTGCTGTGTAACACCAACGATTCCAACCCTCAACTGTAATGTTACCTACATTAACTTATCAAAACAATAAATTAAATTATTAATTTACTAAAAAGTACTGGTTTAGTTATGTTATGGTTTATGTTTATTTATATGCAATATTGATTTTTCCGAAAGTGTTAATAGTGACAATATGAAAAATAAATAGTCGGTTTTTCACTTGTTAATTTCTTCAAAGTAACCGGGGCTGAAATGCTTTATTATGTACACAACTAATAACATACTAATGTCAAATAGTTTTTGTCCAGGTGAGTATTCGAAAATTTTAAAAAATAATAAGGTAGAAAAAATTACAGGAAACTATTGCTACTGGGCAATACCTACATTTATTTATTTATTAAAGCTCAAAAGCATTATAAATAAATCAATTACTCAGGCATCTGTAGAGGTTAGTAATGTATGGCTATCGCTTCTTTGTTTTTAATAAAAAATAACTGAAGTAAAAAATAATAACAAACAAAAAATCAGAAAGTTAAAACAGAAAGGTTAAGCATTTTAATTTTACCTCATTATGAAATTGTTAATACGTAGTAATTGATAATTTGAGGTTTGACTTTATGTAATGTCATTTTAACAGAATATTCTTTGTGTTTTTTTTCCCTTTTGATGACGGGAGGAGATTTCGTTACAGAGTTCCACCCCAGAATTATTTTCAAGAGATAATTAAATATAATAAAATTAAATAAGGATTCTTGCCACTTAACTGCTGATATAGAAATTTAATTCTACGCTGTGTTTGTCATAATGTGGATCAACCTGCTCTCACTACCGGTTTCGGAGCCCTACTCCATCATCAAGTGAGCTTGGGCAGATCCACAAAATGACAACCACAGCGCAGATATAGTTAATTCCGACTTGTCGGAAAGTGTCGGTTAGATATTAAGTCCCGAACGGGAGATAGCGGCCTGTGTGCAATGGTAGTACTTTCGTACCACCGAGGCGCAACTATCGATAGTAAAAGGATGGTTAAAGGCTTTTTTTGTAAAATAGAAAACAAATTTCTTGTAGTATAGGTACATAATAAAATTATATAAGGATTCTTGCCACTTAACTGCTGATATACCAAACCAAACCATCCTTTTACTATCGATAGTTGCGCCTCGGTGGTACGAAAGTACTACCATTGCACGCATCAGGCCGCTATCTCCCGTTCGGGACTTAATCTCTAACCGACACTTTCCGACAAGTTGGAATTAACTATCTCTGCACTGTGGTTGCCATTTTGTGGATCTGCCCAAGCTCACCTGATGATGGAGTAGGGCTCCGAAACGGGTAGTGAGAGCAGGTTGATTCACATTATGACAAACACAGCGTAGAATTAAATTTCTATATCAGCAGTTAAGTGGCAAGAATCCTTATATAATTTTATTATGTACCTATACTCCAAGAAATTTGTTTTCTATTAAATATAATGTTATAATAAACTACCATCGATCTACAGTTACTATATCTAATACGGCACTGCTCTCCAAATAAAGAACCTCCAATGTTAAAAAGAAAAATACATAACTTGCCGATGAGCTTATAAGCTGTTCTTTTTTATGTAAATATTATAACGTATATAAAAAGCTAATAATCATCGCATAAAGCGGCGCCTTACGCATTACCAAAGCCGAGAATAGTCGCATTACTCGACGTCTGAAATTCGTTTTCTTTTATTAAAAGCTAAGTAAACTGGTATGAGTATTTTCCATTATGTTTGTCACGCTTGCTCGCAGATCTTCTAAACCGTTCGGAATATCCATATGACCATAAATTCGCTCAATTTACCGAGAAACGGTAAACTTCTGAAGGTAAATCGAAGAAGGGCTTTGCAATGCAAATTTGCACCGTAAATATTACCGAGAAAAACGACCATTTAGCATCTGCTTCGGAAGTGAACGGGCCCGTACTACCTCCGTCGGCTTCACAAGGCGGTACCATGCGGTTTGTTTTTGTCTTGTTCGGTCTCGGTTAGGTCAGGCCCGGAATACAAAAGGTTTGGGCATTTTTGAAGCTACATAATTGTGCAACATACATCAAATTCAACAAAGCAACATTGAATTTGCATATTCAATGTTATTTTTCATATACAGGGTATCAAAACTAGTGTATCTAACTTCGGTGGGTGATTCTTATGAGTTCCTATGAACATATGCCCTATACACATCCCGAAGTAATTACAGCGCTCGAAAGGATAAATAAAAATAATATATTTTGCTTATTTTTAAGAATATTGGCTAACCGTTTTTCCTAAAATTTGGTACTTTTACACACATTTTAATTTTAATGCGAATGGCGATCGTGTAAAATTCCGTAACACCCCTGAAAGTTAGTCCACTAGGGTAGATAGTATGTACTACTGGTGGTACTTCTTTTATCTTTATAGATACAGTAATTTCAACAAATCACATAAAAAGCTAGAACTTTTTTACGTAGAATAGGTGCTCTTCGTTTAGGTCGAAACGGTGAATGGTTTTCAAGATATTTGCGTTTAAAGGTTACGATGCATCGATTTTAGTGGAGTAAAATGATATGAAAAAAGAAATTTTAAATAAATGAATCTTCTGATTTCACTAATACTAAAATGGATGCATCGGAACCTTTACACGCAAATATCTTGAAAACCGTTCACCATTTCGAACTCAACGAAGAGCACCTTTTTTACATAAAAAAGTCCAAGTTATAATTCTTATTTGTTGAAATTGCTGTATCTATATACATACATACTGCCATTACTCGCTGACGTGTATTTGACACGCATTAGAAGATGGTCACGCAAGACGTTTTCTTTCATGAGCTTTTCTGTGACCGAAAAGCCCGATACGTGATGTTATCTGTCTACCGCACTCCAGACATTCAAAAATCTCATTGCTTTGTTTCCTCTTTACTTTTTGGTTGTCACTGTTAACTGACTTCACAATTCTTCTCCATTCCGTTCTATTGTGAGCTGCTTCTTCCCACACATTCTGCTTGTTAATTAAGTTTTCGTGGAACATATCCTTGTACCTTTTGAGTAGTCCACCTGGCCCGGCCTCCTCTTACCGTCTACAAGTTCACCGTAAAGCAGAGATTTTGGTATGCGGTTTTCTTGCATTCTGCATACGTGACCAGCCCATCTTAAGCGGGACTTTGTTATCATGACTTCAATACTCTCGCAGTTAGCTTTTTCAAGGACCGATACGTTTGAGACATGATGGAACCATTTTATTCTTAGGAGTTGTCTAAGATGTCTCTGCTGCAACTTGTTTAATGCGTTCATGTGTCGGCAGTACGGCACCCAGGTTTCGCTTCCATATAAGATCGTGGGAATTATTATTGCTCGGTACACTGCAAGTTTCGTTTTTGTGCTCAAGTCATGATTGTAGAAAACCCTGTCCTTTAATTTCCAAAATGCTCTTGAGGCGCTGCTAATCCTGTGATCTCAGTGATCCATGATATGACACTCTTGATTTGTTGTTGTTATGGAAGCTTTTACACACTGCAAGAAATTTGTTGGGTACTCCGGAGTTTTTCATAATTCCCCAAAGTGTATCTCTGTTTACAGAGTCGAAGGCTTTTATTAGATCGATGAATGCAACGTAAAGTTTAGTTGGACAATCTATAAGGATAAAAAAAGTACCAAATTTCAAGAAAAACCATTTGCCAATGTCCTTAAAAATAAACAAATTATATTACTTTTATTGACCCTTTCGAGGGCTGTAATTTCTTCAGGAAGCATTTTAGGGCATATGTTCATAAGAACTTCTTATTTTATTTTTATCTGTAGAATCACACACTATTTTTTTGACACAGTGTATATTTTCAAAAACACTATGTTTCTCTGCAACTCTTCTGGTTACATAGCCGAACTAAATTTATTTTACTATGTATTATTTATTTAGAATTTTCAATGTTTTTACAAGAATTAAAATAAGTAATAATTTCTGGCATTCTGTGAACATTATTTATTAATTGATATACATAATTTATAACAATGGAGAATTTAATTTGATATTTATTTTTGTTTCAGTGATGACTCCGCTCCAGGCGCAATACACATTCCTGGATTACTCCTTGGCAGCGATTCTTCGAAAGACAGTGAAGCAATTGATGAGAACGCCGAAACCCAGATGAAGAGATACTTGCTTTGTCCTGGCATGTGTCGTATCGAAGTTTTGAAGAAATTTGTCCGGAACAAGTATAATGTCGATACCAGCCAGTTTTTTGTAAGTATTCTATTTGTAAGTCAATAAGTAATGTATTTTTAACCGTGTTAATTTGCTTTGTTTTACCAAAAAATATCAACCCTAATGCCATTCCCTGAACAGCTTCAAAATGTATTATTTATTTAGTAGTCAAGGCAATCAAGGAGTTCTGAATAATAACCGTCATCTATTCTCGGCATTACAGGTGCAAAATATATTAGAAAATTTGTTTCTGCTTCTGACACTTAAAATATTGTTTTTGTTTTTACTTTGTGTTTATATTTATTTACGCTATTTCTACCCTCTACCCCTATCTCTACCTAAAATATTATACACCTTAAAATATAAATAGAAAAATAAAAATTAGTAAAATGATCATGTTATATTAATTTTATGTCCATCTAAATGAAAATTCGTCTACTATCTTTTAGTATTTAGTATAAATATTAGTTTTTTTTAAATTATTTCTCTTTGTTTCAGATCGATATTTTATACAAACGAGTGCCATTACCAGACCACTATACTTTAATTGACATTGGATATATTTATTCTTGGCAAAGGGTAATTTTTTTTACTTTTTATTACATGCCAAATTACTTACGGGTTTTTTTTTTATTATTTTGCAGAACGAATTAATGAAATTCTTCTTTCGAATTGTCGATCTCAACAACACTAAAAGAACCGAGAGTCCTATTAACAGTATGCCCTTCATATCAACTAAGATACCGAAAACGAAAACAAATGGCGTCAAAACAGTTTTGCCTAAAAGAAAAGATTCTAGAAGGAAGTCTGTCGGAAAAAGTAATGGTAGTATTAAGCAATTTAGCGATGAAGATTCGAAAGAAGATTTAGAAAGTTGTAACAAAGAGAACGACAACGATAGAGCTAAATCAAGAGTCGAAGACGATGGTGCTATTGATAAAGGGAAGATATGTACTAATGAAGAAAATTCCGATAATAGACAATTGACTGTACAACTCTTTAAAACTAAAATTGCGAATAGCAAAGAATGTAAATTTGAAAATAACAAAGATTCGTACAAAATTTATGATATTGATTCTGTAGATGAAACTGAAGAAGTTAAATGTTATGAAGAAAATAGAGTTAAAACGTATAGTGCTGCAAAGGCATCATCAAAGCCTCAAAACAATGAGAAACAGATTGTACAAAAAACTGAACTTAAACTCAGTAATAGTGATATTAAAAACGTGGAACCAATAGAATCTCAAATAGTAAAAAAGTGCTACGTAAATAAAAAGGCCATATCAAATCTTGTGTTAGATGATATTAAAATAAAGACTGAACCTATGAAAAGTCCAACAAAGGCTGAACTGTCCATGATGCCAATTATTAAACAAGAACCCGCATTTTCTGAACATCCACTATGTGATTCAGGCGATAAGTTTATTCTTCAGTTGTCAAAAAATATTATAGACGAAAAAGAAGTGCCAAATCATAACAGTCAGGTATATTCAAAGACCGTCACTAAAAGCTATACCAGTATTACATTAAATCGCAGCGAAAACGTTGAAATAATTACACAGATTGAACCGTTATCAAACAAAGATGGTCATCCAATTGGGCACCATATTGTGAAACAAACAATCAAGAAGGGACCAAGAATGAAACCCCCTAGTCCTAAAAAGTCAACTTCGAAGAGTCTTAAATCAATAAAAAGGACGCTGAAAAAGAATCTTTTATTAAAAACGACTAACAAAGCAAAACATTCTCTTGAAAACAAGAATCATTCCCTCGATTTAAAAACCATTTTTGAAACTGAAAAGGTGTCGAATACAGAACTGAATAACGTAAATGATAATTCCGAAGATGAAAAGTCAAAATTCTTTAAAAGTATCGAATTGACAGCTGTTTCCAAACTTAAACAGATACAGCAAGAAGATAAGTCCGCTAAAGAGAAAATTAAAGATTGTAAATCAGTTGCAAGCCATAAACGAAAAGCCAATAGTCCCATAGTTATCGATAATGGAAGACCGACCAAACTCGGTTGTAAAAAAGCGGTAAAGATTATTCTTCAAGAGAAGATTTCTTCATTAAAAGTCTCTCCTGTTGAAGAAAGTTTCTCTCGAGATAATAGTTTACAGTCATTAATTGATAGTTGCAAAATAAACATCCCATCTTCATTATCCATTACATTAAAGGAAAGTACAGAGGATCATAGGTCACCACCTGTCGTGCCACCTGTGAAGAATTTTATAGAAATTTTAAAACTTCCCGACGAGAATCCACCATCTGAAAGTAATACTAAACCCAGCGATTTGAGTCATTTAAAAATTGGTAAATTATGCGATAATGATAGTGAGCAGAAAGTGGACCAAGATTTATCTGATATTGCCAAAAGTCTGACTGAAAAAATACCTATGTCTACGACGATTTCACACATTGTCGGACCAAAACAGCAATTTGAAATTCCTGTCACAACAAACGCCCCTTCCAAATTTCAGATTCAACCAGCTCCTGTACCTGAATTAAGTAAAATTTTAAATATCTCTCAGAATGAGGATAGCACTAAACTTACTCCAAAATCACCTCAGACTTTTCAGAAAATATTTGAAGAGTCTTTAAAGAAACCTCCAGAAGATGTTCCGAATCTCGCATCTGTAGAGCAAAAAGAAGAACCAACGTTATTAAGTCCCGCTTCAGAAAGTACTACAAATGGCACTAGCCAATCCAATAAGGTAAAATCAGAATCGGAAAAAGGAAAAGCAGAGGGAAATAAAGTACAGACATTATTACCGAAAATTCCTATTTCACGTTTACCTCATCAAAGTTTACAAAAAGGAAAACGGAAATTCGAAATGGACTTTATTAGTAAACTAGTTCCTCAAACAGTAGCTAGTTTGCATTCATCCAGTTTGGGAATGAATTACACTGTATCAGTAGGGCAACAGAGTCCCACCAAGACGAAAAAAGCTAATGGTATTGTGTCCCCGGTACGTGCGGAATGCTTGCCCCAACCAGTAGATAGCAAACAAACTTTATCACCGTCAACTGAAGTTAAATCTGTTAATCAGATTTTTAAAGTGCCATCACCAAAATTAAGTGAGGTTTCAAGTGATAGTAGTGGCCCCCAATCATCACAAAATAAACAAAGTATGTCTGGGAGTACAAACAAAAGAAACATTTTAGATATTCCTAGTCAGCTTATTAAGAAAACGAAGAAAGATGAAACGTCTCCACAAAAAATTAAAATTCCTCGATGGCCTCGTAATAAAAATAAGAAATTTTCCTTCGATACTAATCTGATGGGGTTCGTGCTTGATCCATTAGCGCCAGAGAATAATACTGATTGTAAGATGCTCATCCAGGCATCATCAAATTTGCAAAAATCAATAGATGCTGTAGTCTTGAAGTCTGAAGGGACAGAGTCTGACTCGAAAAAATCTGATACCAATGATACCAAGCAACACTCAAAAGAGTCGAGTTCTCCTAGCTCTGAGTTTAAAGTCCCGTCGTTAAGTTCGGGACTGCCGAAATTATCAGATAGCGGTTGTTCTCGACCGCACACACCTTTACCAAAAAGCTCTCCTAAATCCTCGCCCGTCATTAAACATATGTATACACCTACTTCTTCCTTTCCAAATAAGCCAGTTAATCGGCCAAAGAATGTTACTATTTTGCCAAAACCTGTAAATATTTCGCCTAAACCGCGTAACATTTCTCCAAAACCGTCATCCTCTGGACTTTCTCCAGTAGCGCCGTTTTCCGTAAGTTCAGGAGTTCCGTCTAGTCAAAATGGCAATGTTGCCGCGTTGTCAACGAACGAGATCATGGAAAAATATAACATTCCGAACCTGTCGCAACTGACGGCCACTTTCAATATAAATCCGTCTATATTAGCGACAAACCAGTTGGCCGCATTCCAACAGGCCATGCTTCTGAAACATTTTGAAATGCAGAATCGGCAAAATTGGTTGAATAGGAATCAGGGACCTGTATTACAGTACGAAAAATACCTTCAAAATTTGAACGGATCGCTTAATGGTTCATAGAGTTTTATTTGTGTATATTAGAAATATATTAAAGGTGGTTCCGGCTACAGGGTCCTAGTTTATCAACATGCTTGACTTACTCAGAACGACGAAATTGTATAGTGCGATAGTCTCTCAAATAGAATAATTTAGAACATTTATTTTTTAGGGAAATGTATATATCAGTTCCTAACAATCTAGAATTCTGACAAAGTAAAGCATGATATATATGTATAAAGAGTAATGTAAATAGTAAATTTTTCGACGTTGACTAATAATAATATTTTATGTTTAGTTTTAAAAGGTTATTTATTTTTCGCGCTTCTTAAATTATGAATAGACTGAAAGTGTTATCTAGTTTTTGTATTGATATATCAATTATAGTAAATTTAGTACAGCTACATTTGAAAGATTAAGTATAATTTCAACTAACAAGTAACATTACCTATACTTAATATTTATAAAATATACTAGAATAACTATAATTTGATATATCGGATTTATACAGTGATTTATAAAATTAGTTTAAAAAAATGCTAATTAGTAATAGATTTGATATGTAATTGTTATCGGATTTTGTATTAATTAATTACGAGTAGATACATCATGGAACTACTTGGGTCTGTTATACAATTATACACACAAACATTTATTAAACACTGTTTTACAGCAACTACACTTTATTGGCATTCTAATGAGAGGTATTATAGTAATACAATAAAGTATAGTAATAACAAATTTATTGTGAAAATATTTCAAAGAAATCATATTTTTCCAATCAACCTTAATAAAATTTGAACATTTGATAGACTCAGAATTTGTAAAAAAAATATATAAGTATAAATTAATATTAATTGATAAAAAGAATTAAACATTTACGACTAAATTTATGATTAGTCCGGTCCTGTTTCAATTCATGGCATCTTATTCCAAGCCTGTGGTTAGTTAAGGAACAAGCAAGCACTTTCGCGCAAACCATTCTTGCGCTAGTCTGCCGCAAACTGAGCAAAGGCATTTCAAAATATACAATTAACTGTTTACTTGAGGTTTTGTGTAATTCAAAGAATTTTGCTGAATCAATTTAATTTTTAATATTCTAACTATTATAGATATTTGAAAAAAAAAATTATTCTAGTTTCTGTTATATAATTTGAAAATATTTTCAGTTTGCCACTGTGAAACAATGTTTAGTACTTCCACAAATACAACCAAGTTAACTTCCATGATTGATCCACTGATGTCCAATATAATTCTTTTTTGAATATTTTATGATTTTAAATGATTCATTTAATATGCTTAGCTGATTATATGTTCTTCGCGCATATTAATCTATAAATGTATTATGTAAAAAACTATACTCAAATGAGAAGTCACGAATATTGAATTAAAGTCTTGTCAATCAATTTTCGTGGTTTCATATTGATGGAAAATCTCAGGTTCTGTACAAACTTAATAATTATCATCTTAAATGTATATGTATACTTCTCTACTACAAACCTTATAATCATATGCATATATATGTCTATCAAGATATGAATCTCCAATTAAAACTTATCAATTCCTTGCTTTAAAAATATACTTAACGAATATCTGTTTCTTTAATCATATTATTTCGTTGTTTAAAAAGAATGAAGTTAGGAAGTTATCAACTTAATGACATCTTGTCCAAACTATATTCAGTAAATTTTCGTTCTTCGAAATTTTCCGATTTAAAAATTTTTGGGGCGTGTATCGATGCAGATTGATTAGTTAAATTTTTTAGTATCCACAGTTTGTCAAAAAAATACATACAGGGTGAGAAAAAAAAATAAAACCCGTTTTTTTAATTTTCGGCAATTTTTTTAAAGTACAACATAACCTAAAAAGGGGATCAAATTACATTTGGAATTCTTACATTAACGTCTTCTAACCAGGTGAGAAAAGTGGCAAAAATTGAACAAATAAAAAAATCTATTTTTTGAAAGGGGTATATCCAGAAAATCGACAATCGAAATCTTTCAAATTAAATATCTCGGAAACTGTGCATTTTCGAAACACAATTTAAATGGGGCGAATATAGAGCTCCACTCGCTCTATCCGTAGATGTTTCACTGGTCGTTTAGCTACTTACCGTTTCCGAAAGGAAAAATCTTATTTTTATTTATACCTTTATTTATTTTTTCTGCTGGTATAATTCTTATAGTAATCTGTCATCTTATCATGAATTTGGCAAAAATATTACAGCCAAGCAATCTAATATTCATTTTCCTTAACTAATAGCTCTATTTACTTTTCCGTTTTATGTTTTTGAAATTAACTTTAATCCAAAGATTCATTCGTAAAATTAATTTAATGTAGGAAGCAAAACTAACTAATAAGAAAAGTAAGTTTAAATCCTGCTATATTAAAATTAATTGGTATCACGTAGGCTCAACAAATATTGAAGAAAGGGAACGACGGTAAAATCACAAATAATTGTTTTGGAGTTTTTAGAAAGTTTTCCCGAGTTGCGAATTCGTAAAACTTTTATTGGGCGCTGTGTAGTAGCGACGTTTTTTATGATCTTTTTTACCAGGCTATTAATTATACGTTTAATGTTCTTTTCATAATTGATTCTATTTTATTAGCTACCTATAAAAGTTCACTTTGAGAACGAGGAGTATTATTCATTTTGGAACTTTATGATTATCAAGTTTATTTTCGTAAAATTAAATTCATGCCTTGCTTTTTTCATTGGATGCCATAAACTTGGGTTACGTTAACATGCTTTTAATTTAGGGTACGCTTTATTCACAAATTTTATTAATGACTTGTACAAGAAACATAATTTCAACATGCCCACTTCGTGACCGTTATCAAAAAAATGATATACAGGTTGTTAACTGGACATCAGTTACTTATAGGAGAACAGAATGGCAACACTGCCTATTAAGAACGCATGCACTTATAGGGTTTTCTGTCGTCCTGTCGCGTCGTCTATCGACGAGCGGGCCGGGGTTGCCATGTTTCAACCATAAAGCTCTTGCCGCCAGTAATAAACAAATTAACAACCTGTATGTCAGCTGTCGTGGCAACAACTTACAGGATTGCTGTTTCAAGCTTCATTCAGAACCTCGCAATTAGTGGAATAACTTAGTGGTTTCAATTAGCGTAGAAGTTTGTTCTTTTAATTTCAATGTGAGCACTCAGAATGTCAAAATTAGTCGTAGACATTTTGAATTACTAGTAAAAGTTATCAAACTATTAACTTTTCCACTAATTATACTTCAAAATTTGCGAGAAATGTCATTTTGGCCTTTGATTATCATCTGGCAAGAGAAATTGTGGTTAGAAATTAAAAGTTGATTGTTTTATAAGCTAAATATTAGGCTTTGTCTAATGGATAGTATCCATAGACAAAGTTGTATCCATTGGATACAACTGACTAGCACAAGCTGTTGCTAGGATGTTCTATTAATTTTAATTGTGTTTTTTAGACATTGTGAATGATTGTAAAGTAAAAAGTATAAAGTGTAATTGACAAACAACTAATTTATTCCACTAATTGCGAGGTTCTGAATATATTCTGAATAACAAAGTTTTCTTGACAAAACATCTTAAGAAGTCTTCTGAATAATAAAAAATACATTTCGAATAATTAAAATTTACCAGTATCAGGTTTTAATTTGTGTGAGTGATCTTTTTTTATGACAACGGAATATCTGAGAAAACCTCATCAAAATAAATAATGATTTTAAAATTTGGGATATTTAATTTACTTTTAATGACGGAACCATAAGATACTTTTAAGAAAGGAAGCGCCTTGCGGATACCAGAAAATAAGTTTCGGGATATTAAAATTAATTGGTATCACGTTTTGACCCTGCGGCCAGAGAGGGGCTCCCTTTCTTCAATTCGTTTCAGTTATTAAGGTCGAGTGAATTATTTTTGTCATTCTTTTTAATGTTTCGTTCGTTCTTTGCGTAGCGCCTTTGATGTGATGTCGTTTTTTGAGACAGTGTTGGTGTTCTAAAGGGGGGAAGTTCAGACGATTATTAGATTTTAAAGATCCTAAGCCCTAAACGGAAAAATGAGGAAAACTCGGTAGGTAAATATTAAAAAATGGGGCTTAAATCATCTAGTAATTCAATTACCTGACAAATAATTTTGAGTTCAACAGTTACTAAAACGACCATTATCAACCATTATCAAACAAATTGCGCAAAAAAGGCTGTTGTCCAACAAGTTTCCATTGTATGGCCCTGTTTGATAAGTTCCAAGAATGTTTGGATTCTTTTGTGCAACGGTGTGTTGCGCTTCGTTCGTGAAATATTTTAGTTATTTCATCCAAATTCTTTGTTTTCTTTTTCGTTTTTTGGTAACATTTTTGGTGACATGATTGTTATTCGAACAATGGCACTTTTAATAAAAAGTTGATCAACATTTTACTAAGTGTATAGGTGATGCAGTTGGGCAAAGCAACGGTGCGCATTGCTTTGTTGCGCAATTTGTTTTATAATGTATGGGCCGTTTAACGTAACCTACACTCACTATACAGGGGCCTGGAAATAGTGCGTCGGCCATCTGTACCTAGTTCCTAGAATAAAAAAACTTGGAAATTTTGTTTAAGTGCAAACCTAAAGTATGTACTATAATACAGGAAAATATTTTAACATCTACAGGGTGGCTCAAAAAAGTGTGAGTGGGTCGGAATCTACACCCCATATATTACTGTATTTTTGGCTTCTTTTCAGATCACTTTACGTGATTCGAAGATACTAGTAGGTAGATATATGTCGATAGTTTCAGAGATATTGATAAATAAATAAAAAATTCATATTTTTCATCCTTATTTAAATAAATATTACAAATACAAGAACTGCCCTGAAATCAAAACTATGTTAGGTATTTACTTTAGATTGTCTACACTTACTTTGCCATAAATATCGTAATATTAAATCATACAAATTTCAAAATTCTACGCCAAACTTTCTAAAATATATTTTTTTTTTCGTTTTTTTAAATCGAACACACCGTATATTATTTTTTTACTAGATAGAGAAATAATAAATGAACACTTTTTGTATTTAGAGTATTTTAAAGTTCTTAACGGTTTCGCAGATACTCGCGGTATTATTTTACATGGCTCTTTCCGCGGTAAAATGCAAGAGAAAACTAATTGGGTGGCTATGATAAAAATTTACTGTGGAAAAGGCCATATGAAATATAAACCGCGAAAATCTGCGAAACCGTTAAAAATTTTGAAATACTCTAAAAATAAAAAATGTTTATTTTTTTTCTCTATCTATTATAATATAATATACAGGGTCTTCTGTTCCGTATAAAAAAAACGAAGAAAAATTATTTTATATTTCAGAAAGTTTGGCGTAGAATTTTGAACACCTTGTATAATTAACGATTATAATATTTATAGCAAAGTAAGTATAGGCCATCTAAAAAACCTAAAACATAGTATTGATTTCAGGACTGTTCTTGTATTTTTAATATTTTTTTAAAAAAGGCTGAAAATAAAAAAAACATATTTACTCTTATTATATATTTGACTTATGACATATTTACTTAGTATTATGTAAAATGATCTGAAAGGAAGCCAAAAATGCAATAATAATGGTGTTCCATTTAAAAAAAGCAGCCCGATCCCCGATCCACTCACACTTTTTTGAGCTGTATTCCGGAAACTTCGGCAGCGTATTCTGCAGATCAAAATAAGTAAAAAAGTTCGTATAAATGTATAGAAGTTTCATTTTTATTTCGATTTTTTCCAAATAATTCCTGCAGTAACGTCAATATTTTTATGAAAATTGGTTTCTGGGAGTTTTTTGACACGAGAAACTTGATTTTGATGTCAATATGAATCCTACTAGTAGAGGGCGCCACCTACATATTTTTTAACAGGTTTGAAGAGTAATAACTTTTCGTCCGTACCTGTATGAAACTACTGAATAAAAAAATATAAATTTACGACGTTTTTTACGTTAAAAATGTCTCTTAGTAAAAATCGCTACGAGTATTGGTTTTCGAGATATTTGGAATCGAAATTATCAATATCTACCTGTCATCATTGACATAAATTAAACATGTTAACTAAATAGTTATTTGATTGAGATCATAAATCTGAAAGTTTTTGTGCCAAAAGTTCAACAGAAACTGTTTTATCATCATTTTTTTGCAGAAAAATTTATGATTAATTTAAAAAAATAAAAATTTCCCAAATTTATCATTTCAGTCAAATAACTATCTACTCAACGTGTTTATTTTTCGTCAATAACGACATGTATTGACATTGACGTAACTACAGGGGGGCCCGGGGGGGCGCCCCCCCCCCCAGGTGCTGCTGGGCACCCCCCAGGGAAATCCTGAATTATGACTCTTGGCTACGTATTAATTTTTATTTGCTTGTGATGCAGTAAAAGTGACGTTTTGTAGTTTTGTTTATTTAATACTATTTTGTTGTGTTCAAAAAATGTGTTTTTTTAATTTTTTTTTAGAAAATTTTTAGGTATTTCAGTAATGGGAACACGGTTTTAAGATTATTTTTCATTTAAAAAAAAAACAAAAGCCCTAGGCCCCCCCTGGTCTCAACCCCAGGCCCCCCCCAGGCCCACCCCAGGATAAATTGCTATTTACGCTAATGTGTATTGACTATTTCCATTCTAAATATTTTGAGAACGGTTGCTCGTAGCGATTTTTACAAAGATATATTTTTTGCGTAAAAAGTCGCAGAGTTGTATATTTTTTCCCTCTGTAGTTTTATACAGGTACGGACAAAAAGTTATTACGCTTCAAAACAGTTAAAACATATATAGTTGGCGCCCTCTACCAGTAGGAGTCATATTGACATCAAAATCAAATTTCTCATGTCAAAAAACTCCCAGACACCAATTTTCATCCAAATATTGACGTTACATCAGAAATTATTTGGAAAAAATCGAAATAAAAATGAAACTTCTACACCCTGTATCTCTGAAAATAAGCACTTTAGGACATACACTTATACGAACTTTTTTACTTAAATTTATCTGCAGAATATGCTGCCGAAGTTTCCGGAATACAGTTCGGACCACCCTGTATAGACTTTAGGTTTCCACAACAAAATTGCCAAGTTTTTTATTCTAGGGGCTACAGATGCCCGACGAACTATTGCCGAACCCTGTATTATATCGACCCATACTTCCTCTTGCGGATATTGTTTATACCGATGATGATTTATATAAAATGTTTAGAAATAAAAAGGTTCTAAATTCTGTGAAATATGCTAAAAAAAATCAGAAAGATATAGTAAAATATTAAAAGTTGAGTCGCCTGGTAGATACATTTCAAAAGTAAATAGTCATTTTACATAAAAACGCAACTTAGTAAATCTACATATGTACCATATTTCAACTTTTTAGAGTAAATCCGTTTTGAACGTCAATTCAATCACAATATTCTATTTAGTGGTTGGTTCTTTAATGCTTGTGAAAGAGAAAATCTAGATATTAGATTTGAAACACCCCAAACGAAAAAAGAAAGAAAACTCAATAGAAAAATATTAAAAAATCTTGGATGTAATTAGGTCAGCAATTATTTTTTAATACACAAATATTTTTGAGTTCTTTCGCTTATACGCACTGAAAATTAAATTATTTTAAAGTAATATTTAATATTTTTTTAATTTAATTTTATTTTGAGGGATTTATTTACAAAATTACAATCAAAAAAATTTAACTTGTATTCTGTGTTCGTTAAAAATGTTTTGATTGCTTGCAACAGTTGTCTTTCGTGTTCCATAATGAATTCTCACAAAATGAAAAATATAGCTATGGACAGACGTCAAAAGATTTTTATCATTATATTTTTGAATATAGATATATTAAATGAGGCTTATGAGTAATAAAAAAATGGATAATTATAGACTACAATAGTGAAATTATATTCTATAATTATTATTATATTTATTACTCTTGTAAAACTACTGTATTATATTTTTGATACTTTTTTATTAGTTTTTCAACCATGTACTTTTCTTAATTTTAATTGTTGTTGCTTCACTAAAGTAGGTCACATACAAATATACTACATAATAAGCCTCTTCGTATTATTAGCCTAATTTTTCACGAAATGGCCAGTTTTATAATTTTTTCCTTCAGAAAGGAAAGTGTGTTTTGACGTTCTTTTTATGTACATTTTTTCATTTAATTTTCCTTTTGGATATGATGTACATGATTGATTTTTAGAATCATTTGTTAATGTTTTAATTATATTAAATTATTGTTATTTTAAGCTTGTTTATTTAGGATCTGTATTATATATTGTAATTAGTTAAATATTAAGGAGATGT